GAAGAATCGAGAGAGTCTCGAACACAGAGGGGCTGCGGATAGGGTACTGGCCGACAAAGCTTGGAAGCGCGTTTTCGCTAAAGTGGCGAGTCTCGCCGAGAAGGCGGCGGCCTGGTCCGTAGCGAACGTAATGGGTGCCAAATCAAAACTGGGTATGGGACTGAAGAAGAAGAAGAAGCCAAAGACTGTAACGCTGAGGAAAGTCATCGAGGAAGCCAAACGATCGATGATTCCTAGCAACGATGCAGGAGTAGCTATCAGATCTGCTCTCAAGGGTGCACAAGCTGCCGTCAAACGAGCAGGTGGAAAGCGCAACGTGCGAACACCGCGTATTCTACCCGTACCGTCCAAAGTCGGAGGCTTCCTGATGTTTCTCGTCCCCGTGTTTGCGGGTCTCAGTGCCGCTGGAGCGTTGGCCGGCGGTGCTGCAGGTATAGCCAAAGCCGTGAACGATGCGAATGCAAACAAGGAGCAGCTGAAGGAAAGTCAGAGGCACAACGAGACAATGGAAGCCATCGCGTTAGGCAAAGGACTGTACTTGAAACCCTACAAAAAAGGACTAGACCTTCATCTGAAGCCAAAAAACTTAAAGTGAAACTACCACGCTGAGCGTTGACCGATGCGGATCTGCTAAAGTACGCCAAGATCATGAAGATTCCACATTTTCGCGGAGTCTTCATGCGGAACGCTATGCCGAAGGGTGGACCGTACAAACTGTATTTGAAATCCTACAGAAAAGGACTAGGCCTTCATCTGAAGCCAAAAAACTTGAAGTGAAACTACCACGCCGAGCGTTGACCGATGCGGATCTGCTAAAGTACGCCAAGATCATGAAGATCCACATTTTCGCGGAGTCTTCATGCGGAACACTATGCCAAAGGGTGGACCGTACAAGTACGAGTCGGCAATCATCAATCTCGACGACGAAGATGGTCCAGGAACACACTGGGTCGCGTACAAGAAGCTGAACGATCGAGTCGTTTATTTCGACAGTTTCGGCAATCTTCGACCGCCGCTAGATCTTATCGGATATCTCGGTGTTGGTAGTGTAAAGTACAATTACGAGCGATATCAGCAGTACGATACTTTTGCATGTGGACACTTGTG